CAGAGGCCTTCGTTCTGGAAGTTTGTTTCCTATTCATTTTCTCCATAGGCAGTAAAACAAATCTTCAATTAAGAGTCATGTAAATCATATTTTGTGTATAAACACCACTAAACTTCTTTCTCTTTGTATTGTACATAATTTATCTGTTCCTGCACAAAATCGCATATTATAACAAACGTAAGAAAGCCTCAAACTGCCTTTAAAGCTGACCACAACTCGTCCACAATTCATTACGGTGACAGCAACATTTCGAATTGGTGGATCTCTCTCTAGGATTGTGGGTAGCGTAGTACTTCAGTGAAGATTTAGCAACAAAACATTGTTGAACTCATACTGACATGTGGCTTCTACAGAAGCACATGCCATCAACAAGAAGTCTTGAATGCTTTACATGTTTTTAGAAGTTTGCTATGAGTTGGGTAAATAAGGAGAAAAGAATGAAAAAGTTACATAGCGAATTGGTGGCTGACTAAATACTTTTTTTCCCCACTGTATAGGCTATCTGACAGAACTATTTTGGGCCTTATACAGACATATTTTTTGCATTATTGACAAACTATTTTCCTAATTAATGCTGTACAGTTGCTTTTACGCAATCTGTATTGTTAAAAGCGCTATATAAATAAAGGTGACTTGACTTGACATATGGAGCACAGTCGATTAAAGAGAGAAAAAAGGTTTTCACAGGCAAGCTTTCGGGTGGAGAAAGTGGGACTTTAGGAGACTTGACAAACAAACACGAGCTTCATCTTAAGCAATATGAGCAACAGAGACATCTGATAGCAGACAGTGCAATCAGAACAACTGTTTTGGGATTATTGCATTCAAACGCGCCACACTTTGATGTTTCTTTCTGCTCTTTTTTGTCTCAAGCCCTTCAAGCTTTCATAATCCGCCTTTGAAGTGAGCGACTTGGCAACAATGTCAGTGTGTGACACGCTTATTCTTACCGTCCAAACACACACAGGCTGTGCAAACCATTCTTTCCTGAACCATTCTTTGCTCTCTCTCTCGGTCTTATCAGTAATGCTATACATGTGTCTGGACTTACAGCAGTTAACACTCTGGACTCGGAACGCTGAGCACACTGAAGGTTTTGCGTGGAGAAATACACATAGTAATTGGACTGCAATCCTTGATTGATAGAGCCAGTTAGACTCCATTATGCTCCTAATATCTGAAACTCGCTCATAAAGAGAGATTAGGAGATCACTGGCCAGGAGATAAGCAGAGGTTCAACTTTTCTGGTGCCATGCACATATCAAAAGTTACTGTGTTTACTGGCTTTACATTATCATAACAGAAATATCAAATATAACTTTGCACAGATAAAGTTAGTAAGTGACTCCATTTTCTAAAAAAGTCTTGTGGCTGTGTTTAAAAGACAATATGTATTTAAGCATCTTGCTCCATAGACAGCACGCAATTACATGCAATTTTCATTTGTTATTACAAACTGAGGAATGAGTCAAAATAATCGAGGTTGTAATTGTCAGCACGATATTGTTTATGATGATGCAATGAGATGGAAGCAGTGTCAGATCTCTTCTTCTGTATTGTTACGTACATCTGAGTGTGATGGATTATCAAAAAAGAAAAAATGGGCAAGGACAGATGAAAGTGGAGGCAGACGAACGCGAGCTTATGTGAGAAGTCCTACATATGTCATCAAACACAAATATGTTTCACCGGATGATGGATTCATGATATTAAAGGAGACCAAACAGTTAGGCTAATTAGGCTGTCACATGGCATGTAGTACTAAACTAAGCTCTCTTTCATGTCTTATTGCGCTTAAACTGTCAAATACACACAAGTTTATGTTATAAACGCACACAAGTCTCCTCTAAAACTAGGACTCTAAATAGTGTTCTGTGATCTTCAGTGCAGCCAAAGACAGGACAGTTAGCATGCTTTAAAATTTCACCAAGGCATTAAAACTGGTACACGGTTGTCACTTGTGAAAACACAATGGTGGCGCCGTGGGTGGAAACGTGCAGATTAAGGGGCAGTAATATTATAATAAGCTCCCCTTTCTACCTCATGGGGGGAGCAAAATCTGAGAGGCTCGTTTTTTCACAAGTCTGCAGAGAAAGGCTCACCAAAAAAAATGTACTGGGTTGTTCTTTTTCACGTTTTCTGGGTTGGTAGATGCACTGGGGACCTGATTACAGCACTTAAACATGGAAAAAGTCAGATTTTCATATGTCACCTTTAAATTGCAAGGTACACACAAAAAATATATATAAAAAATTAAATATATCCATGGATTGTTGTTCACAATAACATATATAACACGCATTTAGAAAAAAGATGGTGAATTTTCATTTCATGCCAACTTGAAATCCCTTTAAAACACAGACATTGCGATGGCACAGTAGAGAAAACCATGTTTCTAAAGGTCAGTATTCATTTCAGGAAAGTAATGAGAATGTTTTTAAATAATTTTGACATTGTATATCCGTGTCACACTGTATTCAGAATGATCTGCAGACTGTGGGAAACACATGATACATGCAGGTCTGGAAAGATTGTTTCGTTTATGAGCTTATATGAAGCTTTCAGCAGCTGGTATCATTTCCACACTTGCACATCATTTCTGTATCTATCCTGTCAGACCCTGCAGATTTTAATCATTTAGATTGATAAAACACTGATCAAACTGGTGCTTTTGATCATAAACGGCGAGAATGGTTTAGAAATTAAGAAAGAAACTAAATCCTGTTAAACAGAAGGAGAGAGATCAGGAAATCTAATCAGTGCTACTCACAGTGTAACTTACTAGAACCAGTCTCTTTCAAGGAAAGGCAGTTCACTCTGTGGTCATCTTGGGAACACACTCGGGCAGCTATCTTCAGTCATGCAACTACAGCTCCTTTCTAATTGAATGGGGAAATACTGGAACCTCAAAAACTACTTGCAAACCTCACATTTTGATAACAATAACATATATCAAATCAGCAATAAATAGTGCCACAAACTTTCACACTGTAAACCAAGAGTAGGCAGACTCCTTACAGACTCACAATTGGCTCTTTTAGTGCTGGATAAATAACTTTTTTTAATGGCCAAAACCCGCAAATGAGTTAACATTTTAGCGTTTCCAGTTCCACTGGTCTGAGCAGGGGCGTGTCTACGTGGTGGCACCGGCCCCCCATGAAATTTGGCTGGCCACCCCAGGTGCCCCCCTACCAGATGTCTTGCCATAGGCTTGTTTTTAGTAAATTTCTAATTTTAGGCGGTTTCTATAGTGTGATCTTAATGACAATGTCGAGAGCGCATAATGTTACGCGATCCATGTGCGCGAGGACGAATCTTCACTCACCCCCAACACCCTCTTTTGAGCCAGTGCCCCCGACTGGCCCCCACATTTAAAATCCTCTAGACACACCCCTGGTTCTGAGGTCACCATTATTACATCCGTAATACCACTCATGAATTTTTAAAGCTTTTACTGAAAAAGGTGGGGATGCTAAAGGTTGTCGGGACATTAAATGTCATCAAGCTCGAAAGGTAAACTCATATACTCAGTAGTCCACTTTTACAGCCGCATTGTGTTTACAACCGCACTCTTGAAAACTATTTAAGTTTAACTTTAAGTTTCTAAAAAAGCTATTAGAAGCTTAGTGATGGTGACGTTGAGGTCATGTGGTGGGGTTTGTTTATAGCTTATGATTAGCTTTTTGCCTTATTTAGGCTTGATGAACAAAACAATAATCCAAATGCCACTAAAAATCCTATCAGGTTTTTGTTAGGGAACCAAAGAGATGTCAACTTCTGAGTTGGCCCACAAAAATATGTCATGACTGCAGCAGTCTATTTGGAAGGAGAGAATTACTTTACTAGAGCCTCTATATCACGCATTTAAATTTCCCCAATTCATTGTAATATCAATGATCTGTCTCTGCTAGAACTTGTCTGAGCTATTGCACTTGCGTCTAAAAGAAAACAAGTTTTATGAAGGTTTGTTACTATTAGGTTTGTTATTATTGTACAGTTTGCTGTTAAGATTATATGTAAATTTACTATTTATCTACTATAAAACACTATTTTAAAATAAAGCTACATGAATTATATAGAGATATGTAAATATACTGTATGCATAGAATACGAAATGAAAAAAAAAAATTAATAAACAGTTTACTGTCGCATTCTGTTTCAAATGGTATTACTGTTTTAAATACACCATGCTAGTCTTCCATTCTGAACACAACTTCTATTTCTATTTCTATTGTTTATGATGTACATGTCGTAGTCACCATTTGGGAGAGTGCAGGAAAAGCAGCGGTCAGATCCAAAGGAGTGATTTCTAATTCCGACCCTGAACACAGAGAGCATTAGAGCCTTGGTGACAAAACCGAGTAGTTCAAAGCAGGGGTCACCACTTCAAAACGCTCATAAAAACACCACACTCCAATCGGCCATGATCCCAAACCCTCTTTGAAAGCTCCACAAAGGACAGCAGAGTCATGTCTACTCCATAAAAGCCCGGGCCAGACTCCCGCACTCTGTACCGTCTTCTCTGTCATGCAAAAAGGCATGTTGGAAGTCTTTTGTGTGGAGTTGTTTCAGTTGTTACACACATAAAAGAGCTGAAAACACTCAGTCAGCCATGATGGATTGGTCAAGACAACGGAACAACAAATCATCTGGATGAATCTAAAGAAGCCTCTTTGTTAAGGGTGTTATATGTTAAGCTAATTTTTATTGCCAACTTATATGAAACTATGTTGCTGGGCCATATTCTACACTTCTGTTGCTGAAATCCTCTTATAACACTATGTTTGGTCACAAATGTGCATTTTCTACCCTTTCCCTGACCCTTTTTTTAAATGAATTAAACAGGCTGTTTTGCTACTGTACCTTTAATAATTCCTTATGTAAATTATCTCAGGTGTGATTGACTAACGTCTCTGCATATGAAATAAGTTGCAATACTGTCGCCTATTAACGGTCTGCTTGCTGATACGATTACATTATGTGTATGTGCGTTTCCTGACCTTTTTGGATTGGTCAGCATCTCTGTTGATCTGTCTCCTCTCCTCATCCCAACGGCCCTGTGTTTCCTGCAGTTGTCTTTCTAGACTCTCCTGCGTCTGCCGGCCGTCTTCCTTGACGCTGCTCAGAGACGTCTGCAGCTCAGCTATCACCTGTGTGGACACATCCAAACACAAAATATGTCAACAGCAACAGGCTCCTGAGCTCAGTGATCAGTAAAGCTCCTCAGGGTTTGCTTTAATTACTCAGATAATTGATTCTGCTGAATTTCTGCTTGACCAGTTGGAGTCGAAGTATCCAGCAATGTCTGAGGTTTTCAGTAGATCTTTTGACTGGAAGCTAAGATCTCAATTCAGCTGCTGGTGTTACACAATCAATCACCTCTAATATATGCTCTGAATGCAGATAAACCAATAAGCACATGAAATGGGTGAGAGGTTCAGTATTGGAGAAAGTACCATTTAACTACAGTCAAAATACTCTGTGAGTAAAAAGCTACTAGCAAAACAGACCAAACTTCAGTAAAACAAATAAAATATTATTCCATAAACTATATGGGAATATGTAAATGTGAGCAGTATTGATGTGATACATAAACAAAAAGAGTATCAATCTTGAATTAGCATAATTTACATTAAATATACCCCTCATACACTGTAATAAATTTTTAAAATGACTGAAAACACATAGTAATTAATTAATTATTTATTTTTGCTACAGAAAAGACAATACCCATGCAATTACTTTTCCTTTGTGAATGAGTTTTCCTTTGTCTCTTTGGAGTGTTGCAAGCTGTTTGTGCATAGATAAGATCCGTAAAGTTGCAAAGACTGAAGTCTCTCAAGAGATATTCTTTATAAAAATGAAGACTCCTTCCTAAAAAGCACCTCTAATATATGCTCTGAATGCAGATAAACCAATAAGCACATGAAATGGGTGAGAGGTTCAGTATTGGAGAAAGTACCATTTAACTACAGTCAAAATACTCTGTGAGTAAAAAGCTACTAGCAAAACAGACCAAACTTCAGTAAAACAAATAAAATATTATTCCATAAACTATATGGGAATATGTAAATGTGAGCAGTATTGATGTGATACATAAACAAAAAGAGTATCAATCTTGAATTAGCATAATTTACATTAAATATACCCCTCATACACTGTAATAAATTTTTAAAATGACTGAAAACACATAGTAATTAATTAATTATTTTTGCTACAGAAAAGACAATACCCATGCAATTACTTTTCCTTTGTGAATGAGTTTTCCTTTGTCTCTTTGGAGTGTTGCAAGCTGTTTGTGCATAGATAAGATCCGTAAAGTTGCAAAGACTGAAGTCTCTCAAGAGATATTCTTTATACAAATGAAGACTCCTTCCTAAAAAGTCTAATTTAAACATGCCCCCACATGTCTACGTCACTGTGTGGGAAGATTTGCATAACACTGCCCAAATGTTTACGCAAAGAAAGAAGGCGTAACTTTTATTCTCGCTGTAGTATTGTTGCCGCCGCGTCGTGGAGACGCTGTGTGTGACCCTGGAGCACAAAACCAGTCTTAAGTTGCACGGGTATAGCCAAAAATACATTGCATGGGTCAAAATTAAAGATTTTTCTATTATGCCAAAAATCATTAGGATTTAGGATATTAAGTAAAGATCATGTTCCATGAAGATATTTTGCACATTTTCTACCATAAATGTATTAAAACTTAATTTTTGAGTAGTAATATGCATTGCTAAGAACAACATTTGGACAGCTTTAAAGGCAATTTTCTCAATATTTAGATTTTCTTGCACCCTCAGATTCCAGATTTTCGAATAGTTTTTCTATCATAACAAACCATACATCAATGGAAAGCTTATTTATTCAGCTTTCAGATGGTGTATAAATCTCAATTTCGAAAAAATGTACCCTTATGGCTGGTTTTGTGGTCCAGGGTAACATAGGGTAAGGGGCGTAACATTCCATCACACGCTTGAGGTATTCGGCCAATCACAACGCACTGGATAGCTGGCCAATCAGAGCACACCGTGCTTTTCAGAACGATGAGCTTTGTAAAAATCGATGCGTTTCAGAAAGGCGGGGCAAAGAGGACCAACAATAATGCACGGTATGTGGAAAATAATGTGTTTTTTTAACCTTAAACCTTACATTAAATCTTACATGCAAACACACTGCATTACACCAAATACACAAAATAATGTTATTTTTAGTATCGTCATATGACCCCTTTAATATACTTTAAAATATAATTTATTCCTGCGATGCAAAGCTGAATTTTCAGCATCACTACCCCAGTCTTCAGTGTCACATGATCCTTCAGAATTTATTCTAATATGCTGTTTTATTATCAATGTTGGAAACAGTTGTGCTGCTTAATATTTTTTTGGGAATCAGTGATACAGGATTCTTTGATGAATAAAAAGTTAAAAAGTACAGCGTTTATTTAAAATGGAAATATTTTGTAACAATAACCACTACCGTTCAAAAGTCGGGGTGAGAATTATTTTCTTTATTTTTTTTAAAGGAAATTAATAATTGTATTCAGCAAGGATGTGTTAATTTAATAAAAAAAATAAAATAAATGCTGTTCTTTTAAACTTTTTATTCATCAAAAATAAATAAATAAATAAAAATCCTGAAAAAGTATCACAGGTTCCAAAAAATATTAAGCAGCACAACAGTTTCAACACTGGTAATAAATCAGCATATTATAATGATTTCTGAATGATAATGTGACACTGAAAACGGGAGTAATGATGCTGAAAATTCAGCTTTGCATCACAGGAATAAAATATAATTAAAAATATATTAAAATAGAAAAATATTTCACAATATTATGTTGTTTCTGTATTTTTTATCAAATAAATGCAACCTTGATGAGCAGAAGAGAGAGAGAAAAAAAATGCTACTGATCCCAAACCTTTGAACGGCATTTTACTGTACATTGCTACTGCACTGTTTTAATTTTATATTAATAACCGAGCTAATGACACACTACTGAAAAACTTGACATGATTACACTGATTATGCATAATAAGCACCGTTGTGGGATGTCAACACCTTAAACTGCGTTTTTTGCAAGAAAGTATTGAGCAAAACTTGATTTTTGCCAATTACCCCAATTACTTTTCATGTTTAGCTGTATTCTGCCATCTTATGCAATATTTACGATTCGGTGTCAAGACCATAAAAAAGTCAACAATGAAATTCAATGTAATGCATTATTGGCTTTTAATAATGAACAGATTTGAATGGTTATCGTTTTGTTGTCCATGCAAACACTTAATGACTGTTAAAATCTGTCAAGCGCAGATAAAGGTCTAGCCTCTAGCCCTTCCAGTGTCCTGTCAGAATCAGTGTTGTTAAGGCCCAAATGAGAGCTGTACAATAAAATCCCAAATCACCACCCCTGCATCAGTTGCTCTTCACATTTCACGCACACAACCCAAACCGAAAAAGAACAGAGGAGCATAGAGAGAAGACGGACTGTTTAATGAAGCTCTAGCGAGATGAAAATGAGAAAAACTGTCCCTTTGAAATCTTGCAGTCCAAATTCAGATTCTATTTCAACTGCAGCCAAGAGAGCAGCAGCGGCAGTAGCAGCATTGCACAGGGCAGCGGTGCAGCTCAGAACTAGACAGATAATTGTTTATTGCTCAGAAATGTTCGGAGGAATGGTTTTACTGGAATCCGTTCATTGTGTGGGAGTTGGGAGTGAACTCTTGGAGCGCACACAGAGGGAGAGATTAGGCTTATTTTGTCAGTGGGCGAACCACATGAAAGCACCAAACGCCCCATTATTATGGTAACATAAGTTCTCATGGTAATAATTATTTGGCTATACAGATTCTTGCATCAAGTCTTTTGCCTGAAGGGACACGCTCATCCCTCGATTGTTATTCCTTGCTCTTGATATTTGGGAATTTTGGCCTAATGGCTTCAGCACATCTTCTTTCATTTTAAAGCTTCTCTTTAGTTTGAGGGAAACGTTACACTGTAGCTACGAGGTCTTAAACGGTCATCCTAATGTCTTTTTGATGGATGACTGATGTACCAATATGGACCAAAAATATACTGTATGTAAACGAAATAAGATTGAGAACTGAAAGCTTCAGTGACATAATGATACGTTAGGGAATCATTCGAAAAGATGGATCAGCGATGGATCAAAATGTGTGTTTTTATCAACACATAAACAGCATTTAATCAGAGTTTCTGTCAAAACGCCACAGTTACTACAGTAGATACTAGTAGTAAAACTGTGGTAACTCCACATCAGAACTTACTGGAATCAAAAGAGAAATTACTGTAGAAAATGTAAGCATCATTCGTAAAACTTGCATTTTACAATGTATGGTATTCTGGTCAGATTCTTCAATGCAAGTCTATAGTGTTTTTGGTCACACTTTATTTTAAGGTGCAATTCTCGTGATTAACAAACTATTAACTACAACCTTTGCCACAATTATCTCCTCATTTGCTGCTTATTAATATAAAGGTAGCTGTTAAGATTAGGTATTGGGTAGCATTAAGGATGTAGAATATTTGCTTTATAAGCACTAATAAACAGCCAATATGTAAATAATAGGCATGCTAATAAGCAACTAGTTAATAGTGAGAGTTGATCCCTATACTAAAGTGTTACCAATATCACACCTCTAGTTTAGAAGGTATCAGGAATTAGAAGAGACCAAAAACATTAAAAGCTAGCTTCGATGTAGTAGTGGTTTGAAGTTATTTAAATACATAACAAAAAACCCACTTGTAAATAAAATCATTTAATCAGACATACTGAAATAGATCTGAAGCACATTAAAAAGACACGAGTGTAGGGGTGTGATCTGTAACTTGATCAGATTACTCAAGTAGTGTGCACTAAAGTAGTGCATTACTAAATTGATCAATTTATCAATCACAATATCCAAGTCAAAACAGTAAAAGTAACCGTAGTAACTACGGTACTTTGGTGGTTACTATTGTAAATGTTTGAAAAAGAAGCAACACAATTTATTTGAACATATATTAAAGCTAAACGAGCTAAATGTGAAAACCACAGAGATGTGGTGTCTTCATATGCACATGCATAAAAATGAATAATGCAGCCGCTCTAGGACACATATCCATATGATGGCGGTGGTGAAAGGAGAGC